GTTAAGAAATTTGTATAAGTCTATTGTATAAGTTTACCGCTTGAAGAGTCCTGAAAACACAGCTCTGTGAACTTTGATCCGAACCACACTTGTTCCCAAGGGTTTGATCATAGAGGGTTTGATTTATTGGTTTGATTTTTGCAGTTGCCGTGTTTCCAATTATTTACGATGTTTTCTTACAGGAACATATTAGAAAGTTACTGGTGAGTTACTGATGTGCATTAATGAGAGTTAGATATATACACATACATATCCACAAATTGGATAAGTGGAGCAAAGCCACATCTTCCATAGTTAAATGAATTTGATTAAAAAGTGTGCAAAATTCTCACTAGAAAGCTCATTTTTAGGCGGGAATGTAACGAATTTGCTGATATGCTGCAATGATGGCCTCTTTAAATAGGAGATCAATGTAGCAAATTGACACTCTTACTGCACGGAGCTGTGAAAGCAGACATCGATGACACCAAGCCAGCCAGAGCAAATTTGACGCTCTCACCACCTTGTGTGAATGCACAGCTACTTCTAATGTTGACGAATAATATTTACTGCATTATTTTAGTTTTGTGTGTTACCAATGGTGTGAAGTACAACGAAGTACTTTTAGAGTTTGTTATGGCTCCTGAACACCTTTTTTCATTGGTCTGATGCGATTAAGTGGAATCTGGAATTTTTTATTTTTTTTTGATGTGCAATTTTCTTCCCTCCATTTGAGTCTCATTCACAGAGTCAGAAAGAACAACATCCAAAAACACTAGTAACATAAGAGAGTAGAGTAGCAGCGCTGGTACAGATATATCCGCACCTGTACGATTGCTCAGGTAAGATTTTAAAGATTCGTATGGGGTCACATACCAGGACAAAAGCCCAACTCACACCACATCTTTTCTATAACAGTACATATACCCGTGGACAGTGGTGCCATTCAGTGAGTGTCTGTCTGCATAAAATTATTAAACAAAATGTGATCGTCTCGTGGAGAAGGCAGTTTGCCAGTATATGACACTGTTGTAGCTTTTGATATGGTAGTGAGATTTTTTTTTTTTTTTAAACAAACTTCATTCCACTCAAATCCAATCTTTTTATTTGATTTAATATTGAATAATTGAATAATTGCTCAAAAAATGCATTAAAGTTAAGATGCATTGACAAAGTTAAGACGAGCCAAAAACAAAGATTCTTCCAACAAAAATGTATGAAGTGGTCAAAAGTCATCTGACTCACTTCTTTCTTTTGGCATACTGCAGACCCACTTTCCATGCCTTTATTTCAAACCTCCTAACTAATGCTTATTTTGATGATTGATTAATCAGCTGACTAATTATTTTAGGTATCGGATTAAACAATACAGGTTTGATATGTAATTGATTTTAATGACTATATGAACTTTGCATTCATTATGAATGAAATGGCAACAACTAATCAAAACATAGAAGACAAACACTGAATATGAATATTTAAAGCGACAACTCAAGCCTTTTATTATTCAGCAAAAAAAAAAAAAAAAAAAAACATTAGCAAAGAGTATTCTGTCAAAATTATTGCCCTCTCATTTAACTGGGCTCTGTCTGTTTCACAAGCATTTGCTCTTTCTGGGCGTTCGTTCTATTTAAATGCTTTTAAACTCAAAAATTATTCAAACCTTTATTAAAATATTGAAGAATCGCTCTGTTCACTTAATTATTTTATCAGCTATAATCTCTTTCAAAAGAAGCTTTTTTTTTTAATGGCTATCAAAGTGCTTTGCCTTGATTCTGATCTGCCGCAGCTTTTAATCATGTTATCATGTAATTTCTTTAAAAGAAAAACGTCTGACTAAATTGCTGTGCTAGGTCCTCATTCATTCAATCTAATTTTACCTCTTTTAACAACATTTTACAGAATGTTTAAAATATTACATTTACACTTAAAATCCCAACATCTCTCTTGGTGCTAATTCAGACCAGCTTTACGTGGAGGACTATAACAAATGATAAATTGGGTAGGGTTGCTGTGCAGCTTCAGACACAACCAGAATTTTTGTAACCTGGTGCCAAAAATTTCAATGCCAGGGAAAAAGCAGCGCACTTCCATAAAATCTCCAGAAGATAAAATATTCATATTGTAATTGAGAGGTTCAAACCTCCCCAAACACCAGGCAGGCAGTCCATATGTTTGCCCAGACTGGCATACAGCGATGAGAGTCAGCCAGACGAACAACATATGAAGGGAAAAAAAAAGCCTACTCTTATAATGAATAGATATCAATGTCAAGACCCATCTGGATATCATCTGAACAACACTAAGAGGTTACAGCGCAAGCAGTTTTACTGTGGAAACTCATTATAAATAAAATGAATGGATTGCTATAGAGATATACAGAGGCTTTGTTACACTTTTAAAAGCAGATGTTACTGTGTTTTTCTAACAGCTTGTCTGCTGCAGCAATAACAGACCATTTTTTGAGTCTTGGCGTATGTTTATGCAGATGGATGAATGGATGAATGCAAAAGTTAGATTATGGTTATCAACAACCTAATGGTACAGCAGCGCCACCTGCTGTCTAATGCATGCAGTAATGCAATAGACCTTCATTAGTGACAGTTTTGCTTTTAAATATAATGTTTACTGGCTGCCAAAAGAAAACCCTTCTTAAAAGAAAGACTATGGCTATCTGATCTGTCTCTGCCCAATACAACTACCGATCGGGAAGCTGTGTAGGATACTACATTCCACCCTAATCACCAATTTATTCACAGGGCATATTTAACTAAACGTATACGACACATAGGTTTCTCTCCACATCCTTATTTTAAGTTCTGTGAACCACAGTGTCCAGATACCTTTTTACATATGATGTGGGAATGTCTGAAGGTGCAAAAACTTTGGGATTCTGTGCTGGACGTTTTATTTAAAGTTACAATAATTTGTTTCCTCAAAGATCCTGTATTGTTATTATTGAATGAGAACTCTCAATTTCACTAAAATGAATGAGCTGCTTCAACTGCTACAAAGAAAATGTTGGTACAGAGGTGGAAATCCCCTCATAATCTTTCTGTTAAGCACTGGTTGCATTCACTATTGGAAATACTGTATCTGGAACGGTCATCAGCACGAATCAACCATGCTAAACTGGACATTCGGACAGCGTGGAAAGTCTCTATAGGCGACGTCAAAGAAATCTTGGACACCAAACCCCCATCTGATACTAATGTCAAGTGTAACGTAATTTATCTAATAGCTTGGTGTTCTGCGTTTTCTGATGTGCATATAACTGGTTGGAGGGTGGGGGGGGTATTCAACATGTGCAGGGGGTATTACCTGTTAAAGTATTTTTCAAAGTGATTTCAAAGTGATTGTTTAAAATAAGCTTATCCTGCATATTTCATCAAATTATATATCCTCATATTTACAGTACAAATTATAAAATTTTGTTGCACCTTAATAACAAACAACAATTAAAGAAGTTCAACTAAAACATTTGCGAAGACCTTTAAAAAAAAAAAAAGGTTAAATCAACCAAATCAATTAAATCAACCAATTAATTGCATCCAATATGTGACCGAGCAGATTACTAGATAAAAAGAGATATTATACAAAATGATTAGCTCTTCGGTGAAATTAATTCTACAAATATTTTCCAAAAGTGTTTAAATGGAAGGATGTTTTAGTCTAATAATTAGTCTACTAGTCTGGTAATAGTTTTAATTAATCATTTTTAATAACAAATTTACTTTTGGGCCAATGTGTTGGCGCAGTAGGTAGTGCTGTCGCCTCACAACAAAAAAAGTTGCTGGTTCGAGCCTCGGCTTGGTCAGTTGGCGTTTCTGTGTGGAGTTTTCATAGTGTACGTGTGTGAATGAGAGTGTATGGGTGTTTCCCAGAGATGGTTTGCAGCTGGAAGGGCATCTGCAGCGTAAACATATGGATAAGTTGGCAGTTCATTCCGCTGTGGCGACCCCTGATTAATAAAGAGCCCAAGCCGAAAAGAAATGAATGAATTTACTTTTGCTAGAGAGCATCTGGAAAGGGTGCCAATAAGTGGTGCTGTACAATTCACTATTTTGGTACATTTGACAGTGGAAATGAACAAATGCGCACAGTGGAAAGGGGTCATCAAATTACTGAAGATTTTTTTTAGGTAATCCAGAATGGGGAAAAAGAACTCCACCTTTTATGGTCATAAACCGTTAAATTACGCATTACATTAAAGGCATATCTCAAAAAGCATTATAGGGCACACCTGTCAACATTGGGATGAAGATACACAAGTTAAACCTCCATATAAAAAAAAGAAAATAAACTCGGAGGAGTTTTATTGTAAATAAGCAGAATGGTGTTTGAGGAACAGGGATTACTAAAGATAGAATGCGTAGCATAGATTAGAATAAAGTTGCAAGTAAAATAAAAGATTTAGGTTATTAAAATGATTTGCCTAATATAAAAACATGAAATGAAGTAAACAAACATTACCCAAATAACAGGGATGGCACTTTAAGATCTATAATGAACGTTTTCATTATACCCCACATCTTAATTCGATTTCTGTTTTGTTCGATTATGACTTTAAATCAAATTAAATTAATCAAAAAATAAATAAATAAATAAATAATAATATTAAAATTAAAATAAATTGCTGCTTACATGGGATATTCTTAATCAGAGTATTGTCTTAATCATTAAAATCAGATTATTGGTAGCGCATCCTACAGAAGATTGACAACGCATTTTAATGGAAAGGAAGAGAATGTGGCTGTTTTTATATTAATTTTAATTATGGAGATCATCTCTGTTGACTTTTATAGAAGTATTAAAAATAAAAGGAAAATGTTTAAACAGGTTGATAAAAAAGGACAGGATTGACAGGTATGTAATAGAGGTAATACTAAGTATGTGAGCAAAAGTTTAACAATCCATTCACTCTATCCATAATCTTTAGCAAAAAAGTGACATCTATATGCAAATCCCAATGGTTTTTGAAAAAGGCCATCCTGCCATCTGTCAGAGGTGTTGCCTTGTACCTGTCGAGCGAGGTTGACCGAGTCAGCAGTGAGCCTGTCTCTGAGGTGCGGATCCAGCTGTGTGGCCGGTGCGATCTCCACCACCTTCTGGTGTCTCCTCTGGATGGAGCAGTCCCTCTCGTACAAGTGAATGACATTGCCATATTTATCTCCTGCACACAATGGGCCGATCAACTCGTTGAGCATTACACAGAAGCCTTAAACCCATCTGCTACTGTAAACAAAGCCATCTGCTAGCATTTCTCTAAAATATAACAACAAACAATCGTAAAACTGATCAATAAACACTGTGCAAATTAGCAGGCAACAGACCGCTGCACTGTTCGCTTCGCTGGTGAGAATAAGGGTGGTGTATGCAAATATCCAAATGCGTGTTAATTACCCCACCAGACGAAGTATTTATTTCAGGCAACAATCAAATTTGATGTTAGAGGTTTTGAAAGCTGCTTCGTCAACAAGGTCTGGGAAGAGTTCAGTGACTGCTTCTCGTTGCAACTTTGAGAACATTACATTAAAATGTGTCCCATGAACAAAGTCCAAGATGTTCTAAACTAGAGTAAACAATTATTGAAGACAAGATTTAAAGGCACAGCATGTAATTGATTTAAATTTTTCATATTAATAACAAAGTTGAGTCATGATCATGTGGGGAAGTAATAGCATTGTTTTATCATACTGAATATACTTTAGGCTTCTGTTATTACATAGTGATTTTTAAATTGTGACACGGACTGCCATGCTAAACCACTATGTTCTCTGGAAATGAACATGCTTCAAAACATTATAATGTACATTATCAGCAACATATATAATACTGTTCTAGTTGTTTTGGGATATTGTAATGACATAGTAATTTATTTTGGTCTTTAAAACTTTTAAAGCACTGGGGTGTACTGATATGAAAATTAACTGCGGCTGATACTTAAAATGTGAATGAAAAGAAAATGCATGTGAAGTAGATCAACCAGTCTAAATAATTTGTCATTTATCATTTATCAGCCAATAAATATGTTTTCATCAGGCTGATAATGATAACATTGATGCATTCATCTCAGCAGTTCTCAATCCTTATCCTCAGGACATTCCCTACTGCTTATTTTGCATATCTTTTGTTTAACACATCTGCTTTATCTTATCACTCGTCCTGAAAAACATTAACGTAAACATCTTAATTTCACTGATCTTAAGCCAAATTCAAATATGATGCCATTAGAATGGGTGATTAAGAACTTTAAATGATCCATTTTGATTTTTCCCCACATTTAGTTTAAATAAGTTAAATAAGTTTAAATACAGGACTTTGGTAATATTTTATGAAATATTTTGTGCTGTCTTCTGGAATCATGAGCATCCTTTTTGCAGTACACGAAAAATAATGACCATTTTGTCAATTAAGACTTTATCAGTTCAAACACACACTACATGATGTTTTTTATTTTTATGGGGACTTCCTGTAGAGGTAGACATAATATTTTATAATGCAATTTGTTGTAATAATATGCACAGTATTGATAATAATTTTAACTTTTAGAGTGCTTTTTAAATAGATTTAGATTGTATTACCAATTGTTAATCACAGCACCACATGTGTGCAAAAATGTATGGCTTTTTGTTCATAAACATGTTTTATGCTTGTAGTAAATGTGCTTTTAATATAATTATGCACGTTTTGCATGTTAAAGTGTAAAAACGTACGCACCTACAGATGTAAAAAGCGCACCTATGTGTTGTTTCTTTAAACAGACAAAAGGTCAGATTTTCCCCAGGTCATATTTTATTTATTTAAATGAATTAATTTTGTCTAAAAAATTATTAGCATCCCAGACCACCTTCTGAAGTGATTTGAGCGCTCAGATTTTTATCCAATCAGAATAAAACGAATTAAGTGACCAGTTTAAAAAGCGTCAAAAACACAGACTTGACAGGATTAGCGTCTTTTGCTGTGAAGTGACAGCTGACGGTTGAGGACTCTGCTTGGAAGCCTTCATCAGACATTTATTTTCAAATAATTTAATGTCAAAAATAGGGAAAAGGACGTCATGTACGGGACAAATAAATAGTTATCATAGAACACTATGGCCCGATTCTCACCTGTTAGGAAGTAAGCCTTACCATGTTTGGCAGCCTTTTTGAACATTTGTTCAATATTTTCCAAAAATGACACTGCTGCCTGCTTTTTCTTCCACCTTTTGCTCTTTGACCGATAGTATTACTCGATATGGATGTCAGATCAAAGATTGAAATGTTACAACTCGGTGGCTTATGTCACAAGACTCATGTCATATTATTGAGACTTTGAGGCTCCATGGGATTCGAATTACTGGCCATAGTTATTTAAAATTATACTTTATTGTAAAATATATATATTTTTAATCATATAAAATAATTAAAAGGACAAATTCTGGACCTTTTGGTCGTGGGGGGAGGGTTGTTCACCCCACCTGAACCCTCCCTGGCTACGGGCATGTCCTGATAAAATCCAAACACATGTGACGTATTTGAAAGCATGGAAATACCAGTGCAAACAGTAATTCGGCTCAGCGGAGCACTTGTGATCAGATGACTGAAAGCTTTTGTTACTACCAGGTGAAAACTGAGTTTATAGTGCAGTTTTGTTGAAGATTAAACACTTCAGGCTGTAAATGCATAGAAAACTCTTAAAGCTTAACTTTTGTATTCGAATAGACAGTTTTAAAATGACTGAAGGTTGAGTAAATCATTCCAGACTGTAAAATATTTAGTTTTTTTTTTTAGTTTTTTTTTTTTTATGTCAATGCTTTTTTTTCCACTACAGAAAAACACACACCAACAACAACCTCACTTACCCAGGATCTGCACCTCGATGTGTCTGGGTTTCTCAATGAACTTCTCCACAAACAGAGCTCCATTGCCAAAGGCTGCCAGGGCTTCAGAGTACGCCCGCTGATAGTTCTCTTCTAGTTCCTGATCACAAGCACACACACACACAGTGACCGGGTCACCCAGCGCAAATACCCAACACACTAATTCATACAGCACCAGTAACTGAACAGCAAACAAATCTAAAGGGCAAACGGGTGCTCACTTTTGCACTCATTTAAAAGCCCCCCATTATCAAACCTCAACTTGGAAGGAATTGAACAGAGATTAAACAAGATTATGAACCCCAACTAATAATTTTAATCTAAGACACGGTACCTCATACTCTCTGACCACCCGCATTCCTCGTCCCCCACCACCGTACGCAGCCTTGAAGATAATGGGGAAGCCGTAGCTGTTGGAGAACTCTTGAGCTTCCTGCAAACAGGAGATGGGAGCGTCTGTCCCAGGAACCACCGGCACTCCTGCAAGATGAACAGAAAATTTGTTTGCCCAGGAATCAAACCTGCAACCTTTCAAATTATAAGTCAGGTTATCATGTCAATTTTACAACATGATTTGTAACGCTTCCACTTTAAATTGGGTGCAACAATTGTGTTTTGGAAGTTAAAATAAAGTATTACAATAAGTATTAATTTTCGCAATATGGGATTACAGTTTTAGAAAGTTGTAAACTGTTAAAGATCTGACAGCTTAAAGCTTGAAGGTTGTTAATCATGTTTATATGTGCATTTAAGCCATTAGTTCATTTGTTTTATTTATTGGGACAATATACACAATTACCGAAAAGTATATAAAGATACTTCATATTTTAATTAAGCATACAAAATTGAACAGAATATTTCCTTCTATGATAACGTCATTAGTTAATTTAGCATTTTTTTTTGCAATTTTTTTATAATTAGCACCTAGAATTCCTGATGAAAGACATTTTCTACTGTATATGATTTAAAATTTTGCTTGTGTATGTTATATACAGCTCAAGCGGCAACCTCCCGCTCTACCTCGTAAAGCAAATACGGAAGTAACAAACTGCAATTGATGGAAATTCCGCTAGTCCTGGCTCCATAATAGAGCAAATTTTTTATTGAGCCCACTGTTAAAACTTTACAGCAGAAAAAAAGGCATTTACAGTCTGGTACAAACAAATATTTGGGTTCATATAGCTAATAGTACCTTTCATGACAACTGTGAGGGGGTGAATTTTCTTGAATAACTTCTCCGTCTTGTTTATATCAAGTTATATTAAGTCTGCATAATTAAGGGTGTGGCCGATTGAGTGACAGCTAGGTCTCGCTGCTCGCAGTCATGTCACTTCAGCCAATTCCAGCAGATTAGCAGCTGAACTCGGCATACACATTGTATTATTGTTTTGTTTTACGTGGCTTCACACAGTCAAAAGCCTTTTGGAAATATTTCTTACAATTATTTGGCATGCTGTGTGCACTTTATTGTGCTCAAAAACAAAAATAAAAAAAAACATTCATGTGACCTCCGATTCCCAGGTGAGTGAAATTAAATACTTATACCATCTCTACAAATGTATTTCGTTTTATTTAAGATAATTTATAATCTATTATTTTATTTAGACCTGTAATGCACTCCAGAATCCGACAGATTGATTAGCTGTAACCCCCTTTCACACATACAGACCTTTCCGGAAAATTACCGGCAATTTTCCGGAAAGGTTGTATGTGTGAACAGGCCCTTTTTGAAAATACCGGTAAATTCGTTCTGGCTATTTTCCGGAAAGAGAAGTTGTAACATTACCGGCAATTTGCCGGAATGCTGCGCTGTGTGAATGCAGAAGAAAGATTACAGTAATAAGCGCGTGCACGTCTAGAACGTGCTGACGTGAGACGTCTGCTTTAGCCAATCACAACCGTCAGACGCATTTACGTCCGCGCGATTTGTGAGAATAAAAGCCTTTGAACATTTTTCCAGACACATTTAGCTGCTAGAAGTTAGTCAGATCACGTTTATATATGTTCTTCTTAATGCCAACTGTGTAAATAATCATCGATGAGATGCTTATGATAAGCCGTTGTTTGTTTACCTTCAAGCTTTGCGTGTGCCTGTGAAACAGCCTGTGAGCGCCTGCACACGCACATATTATGAACATCTCGACATGCGAAAGTGATCCTGCGAAAGTTGGTCACAATATTGATCATCCACAGAGTTTGTAATTTAGTCAAATGTTTACAAATACAAGCGCAGCCGTTTAAAGCTCATTTGTGGTGAATGATGCCAGAATTTACCGGTATTTTGGAATGGATGTGTGAACGGTCTTTTCCGGAAAATTTCCGTAACGTCCTCGCCTGTGTGAACAGCGCTTTTTTGAATATACCGGTAAAGTCGTTCCGGAAATTTTCCAGATATTTACCGGTATCACTGTGTGAAAGGGGCTATACAGTGTTATGCCTGGATTTCATCAATAGCCTTGCATTGACTAACACAGACTATGTATGAAGTGTTTGGAAGTAATTCGCATTCTCCTGTAGAAAAACGTTGTAAGAACAATGCTTAGTGGCTCAATCTATTACAACAGTGTTTTTAAAAGACTAAACACTTTATTGATATAGTATACAAACAAGCACATGTGGTCAGAACCCAAATTAAATCGCAGGTAATGAAGTATTAAGCGATTCTACCAAAGAAAAGCCTGTCTAAGCAAAATGCTAGCAAAAGTCTGTAGCTTCACTCACACTCCACCTCTTTGCCCTTGTTTAATATCCCCTGGTCGGTGCGATGACGTGCAAACTAAATGGCGACGGTTGGCCATGCCTACTTGTAGCTTCTTTTGCGTTCTTCAGAAACCTATGGGTGACGGCCCAGATACTTCGTCCATATCTTTCACAGTCTATGACACAGCTAAATAAGGTGTATGTAGGATTGTATTGTAGTCCATATTCAAATTATTGAACATGGGTTTTTCCCCAACCATCCCCTGTCCTTAGACTTGAAACACAAGCGGGTTGCCAGATTGACAATACAGGATAACAGGTGCAACTGTACTATGAATGCTTTGTGTGTTTGGTTTCTTTTTTTTTTTTTTTTTTCGACCAAAAAAAAAATGTCATGATGACTTGGATGATTTTACACCTAAAATATCAAAAATGCATAGTTTAATTATTATAATTTAAAATAAGAATCATTTGAAAACATAAGACTCATTACACAGTTTTATATCTGAGTTTTCCCTATCAAAAATACATTAATGTGTGCTCCACCAGATAGTTGTTTGTTCGGTTCAAAGCATACAACCTTTTTTCCCATCCCAAATAAATTGGATGGACGGACGGATGTTTATAATATAATAATAATAATAATAATGACACCGCTACAACATCTTCAGTGACACAACTGATGATATAGCACAACAAAAATAACATGATGAAATAGTGTACCAGCACTGATGGCAATAGCTCGGGCCTGAACTTTATCTCCCATCTTGCGCACCACATCTGGTGTAGGACCAATGAAACGCACCCCAGCATCCACACAGGCCTGGGCAAAATCTGCTCGTTCAGACAGAAAGCCATAGCCGGGGTGAATGGCATCCACATCATTTGCCTGCCAACCACAGATAGAAAAATATCAGCATTTAGCTGCACTATTAACAATAAAAATGCCATTACTGAAGTGACTGCTTTACGACAAGCTTTCATTTATTATTCACAATGATGAGGTTATTAAAAATAAGATTCATCTGCATTTACACGTCTAGCATTTAGACAAGGTTATTCACAGCAGTCAACAATGTATCCATGTCAGACTAATAAATAACACAACCTAATGAGTAAACATTCTCCAGAATTTTCTTTATATGCGCAATATTTACGCTCCTTTGGAAAGAAATGAACACAATTTCAGGAACAAAATAACATATGCTATCATAGAGATTTAAACATCCAACATTTATTAGTGCGTTACATCTGATAGGGCAATATTGACACATTGCATATAAGAAACTACACTTTATTAAAAAGGCACAATATTTTTTCACTTGAATTTTTGTATTCAAAAAAATCCACAAACAAACTAGAACGGAGTTAAATATTTTGCTGACTTAAGCGCTTGCATTATCTAAAGTGTTTTGAAGAATGTTTAAATCTAGAGAAATAAGCAATTTTAACTAGTGAACAGACCATGTGCTGTGTCACCATGCTAATGATACACCCTCAATTTCTGGTTTGGTTTAACAGAAATACATATTTTTACATAGCAACAGCAATATCTTTACATGGCAACAGAATCTTAAAATGGATTTAGTTTTATAAAACAGCACTGACAACATTTCTGCATTTTGCCTTTAGGGGGTTGTATTCAAAACAAACAAAGGCATATTTTGATGAAACTGTGACAGAGTTTGGAATCATGAGAGTTGTGGCCTTCATTGCATCCAATGTGACTCATGCAGAAATCATGTTTTTACAAATCACACTTGTCTTTCACTTACAGTACAGTAAAACATCTGTCTTTCCATTAAGATGTTTATCTGTGACAATGTGCAACTAAAGAAAATGGTGCATGACTGAATTTAATTTGTGATAATTTGTGTTCATTTTTAAAGCAATAGATAATGGGAATTAATGTCCGAAGTTTAACTGGTGCAGTTCATGTCATGACAGGATGTCAGGAATGTTTCGCATGCTTTAAACCACATTGGTCATTTTCTGAGACAAGCTGTTAAAGCAATTGATTTGTTTACCGAATAAGCCATAGACTGACTGACGGTGCGTAGATTGTTGCTTGAGGTATTTAATAAGAAAATGAGATGTGAGAACCAGCTGCCTGTTGAGCCTGATTTTATTGCGACAGCTTTAAAGCTTTTTTTGCAGACTCTGAACCCTTTTGTCAAAAGGCATAATTATGTGCAATTACTGCTTTTTGTGGGCCTGTTTGTACTCGAACTGTCCAATCACAGCAGACTGTGTGTGTATTTTTCAGGTCACAAGATCCTAATCTGCCATAACCCCGTAAAAACCCTTTCAACAAAAGCTACAAGTGTTAATACATGACAAATAAATATACAGGTGGAAAAAACAAACTGTTCTTTATCATGCCTGTGTGTGAATTGCGTAATAATAATAAATATCTTTAAGAAGAAAAAAGAAAAAAAGTTACAGGGCACATAGTTTACCTCTTTTTTTATGATTTAATATTAATATTATGGTTTATTAATAAATTAACCTTTTTAAAAATGGTGTCTGTACATTCTTATTTTTGTTTGAAAAAAAATGACCACTTTCATGTCTGTATGAAAACTGCATAATAAATACTTTATTTAAATATTTTATTTTTAATTTTAATTAGTTGATTCATTGACTCAGTGTGAAAACTGCACAATTATATTTAAAATATATATTTTTAATTCATATTAAAATAATCTTTAAATAATTTATTTGTTAAGTTTGGCATCTAAAGAGTTTTTTTAACTGGAGGAATAAACTTTGCCCATCATCATGTCACTGTGAATCTGCAAAACAACAATTAATTCAATAAAATTACTTTAAAAACAACAAACAATAATTATAATAATCAGTAGAGCAAACGTACAAATTTTACATTAAAAATGCACACCCGACAATCACAAATGCAGCTATATACGTTCATCAAAATTTTGAAAAATGTAAATAAATATACATATTTTTAGCTTGAGGTTAAATTTAGATAGACGGATTAATAGACACGCAGCTGTTATTTATTCTTCAGCCAGCTGGTAAAAATGTAATTATAAAAATTAAAAAAAAATGATTAAAATTAAGAAAATAGAAAGATGGATAGATGGATAGATAGACTGATAGACATTTTATTTTTTATTAATACAGACCGAATCCTTTTATTTTTGATTTTTTTTTTTTTTTTTTTTTTTTTTTTTTACTTGGGAGTAAATGGATTAAGTACATTTCACCAATATGCCCGAATTTTTCTTGAATAGTAACTTACAAAACTAATATTATGCATCTAAATGTATGTTTTCTTTTTTAAAGGCAATATTCTAAAGCAGGTGTGCACAAACTTTCTTATGAAGGGCTAAAAACCATATACTTGACTGAGGCTAGTGGGCCGAAGGTAGTTAAAATGGGTAATTTCCTAATTTATTTAATATATTTAAAAATAACTAAAAAAAAAACATTGCTTTATATTAACTAATACACCATTTTCTACATTTTATAATTATCTCATAATAAAAACACAAACAATCTCAATTACGGCAGAATAGAGATTCACTAGTTTTTACCTTGATTCGCTAACCAATGTCTTCGGCATAGTCCTCTACCCCTCAAGACATTTACATTTTTAAAAATCTATTCATGTACAATATTCAATTGAAACATTTCATTTCAATTTTTTTTTTGGTAGCTCAGCAATAAAACATACAAAAAAAAAAGGTTACGTCAAATTATAAATGACAATCTCTTTTAAAAACAGGCCCTACTTTAGAAATCTCTGTTTTAAAGGATTTGTAGCTCCCCATGTTTTACCATTTATAGTTGTTGTTGTTTAAGGGAGGAAAACATGAAGCATATGAAAGATCTGTAAGTCTCTTTCTGTATGAGAGATTATGATATATATATGCATTTTCTTGTGGAAACTCAAAATAAAAAAAAATGTATTAAAAAAATATTTTGCTTAAGGTAGGTAACAGAACAAGCAAAAATGTGAAATACTGTAAAGGAGATTAGCAGAGAATCTACTGTAGTGAGGATGCAGTGTCTGACCTTGGCCACTTTGATGATGTCTGGTATATGAAGGTAAGCCGCTACAGGTGGCAGCCCCTTTCCGATGAGATAAGCTTCGTCTGCTTTCTGTCTGTGCATCTGTCCCGTATCCTGCTCAGAGTAAACGGCCACGGTGCGAATGCCCAGCTCTGTGCATGCCCGAAACACCCGGATTGCAATCTCACCTATAACGCAATGAAGACACACAAGTCATGAGTACACAGTGCATTCGATCAGTGTGTTTTTACACCAAAGCAAAAACAAGAGAGAATTACACTCAGAATATCAATACTGTACTTTCCGTATTATTTCTGTTTTATTTCTGCACTAAATTATATATATATATATATATATCGTGCTCAGATCTGCTTCAAAACAATCAGTCTAAGATCGCCTGAATGAGATGGTTTTGGCTCGATTGAAATAAATCAATCTCTGGAGCAGATCGATAGTTGTGAGAAAGCAAGAAAGGCATAGTGTACTCAGAATACGTAATAGGCATATATACGGCTATATAAAGAGAGAATTATCAATACATTTTATGTCAAATACGAAAGGGAAAGCATGCTAAACTATTAACGAGAGCAATTTATTCATTAGGAAAATTCACCGAACTGCAGTCTTAGTTTATCTGTTATTTCTTTCTATAACATAAAAGCCTATGCATAAATTCTAGCCAATGGCTATGTATGAGAAAGTCTTACCTCTGATTTATGTTTAGTGATAATGTCTGTGGGTGTCACTATTTAAAATTAAAAAGCACAGCTTTTCGCTTATAATATCTAATTGCACATCATCATAAATTCAAATAAGGACGAATGATAGCGGAGCGGGACCCTGGAAAATAAACCATGAAACGCTGACCGATGTGAGGAGAGTTTACTCGTACGTGACTTGTTTTAGCTGTTTTGGTCCTTTTAGAAACTTTACTGTGTGAAAGCAAACCACACCAAGAACAAAGAGCAATAATGTAACAATTTTAATCCCGTTTCAGAAAAAAAAAAAAAAAAAAAGGAATTGATCCACAGGTGTGAAAGCATCCTCAAAAATATGAAATATTCAGATTTTTACAAATAATTTTAAGATAACACTTTAGCATCTAATTGAGAAAATGTTAATATTGTAAAAAATAAATAAATATTAATTAAATATAAATATTACTATATAATATATATCTGCAAAGTTGTTATTAAGAGGACAATTCTGCAGTTTGTCCATTTTTAATGATTTATCATTTCAATTAATAAATTATTTCTAGTTAAAACAATGTAATATCACAATATACCATGATAAAAGATTCCACAATAAAATAAATGTATCAAATTTGACAGTCACATGACTGGTATATATACTGTTATGCAATTATTTAGTGATGCATTAACTACAAATTAACAGCTAAACCTGAAAATATCATTTGTCATTAAAATAACTATTTGTTTTTCAAGTGAGAGGCATTTACTCTACATGCTGGACAGTTAATTATCTGAATGAAAAAAAAAACACTATTTTAACACTACTCTTTAAATCTGAAAGCCACAAAAAGCAAAGCAAAACTATGTGAATGCACAAATTTACAAATACTAAAATAGTCAGAAATCTTTCATTTTACATACAGATATAATAAAACTATTTATTTTTATGTTACTAAACATTAAATCTCCACTTCATCAAATATCAACATTGAAGAAGAGCTTACAAAATAAAATTTCGTCATCACATTCACCCAAGATAAAGGGGCCCTATTTTATCCCTTTTGAAAGATGCAAGATAAATCCCACAAAGTATGTCGAGAACTGCACATCCATTACTACAGATCCCTTAATAATATTATACTAGTAAAATGTACTTAATATTACTAGGTTTACAACAATTAGAAGTTTAGAAGAATAAAAGTAAATGAATAATATTCAACTCTTTCCAGTCTTTTTGCACTCAATATTTAGTCCACTTATTGTATTTATTACATCAAGTAAATGGGTAAATGTTAAATTGTTTAGTTAGGAAATTCTAGTTATCCTAACATTTAATATTACAATTAAAAATTAAAGACAATAAATAATTTTTTTTGTAAATAGATATTCAGTATTTTGATTTTACCACACCACAAAGTATTTTTCAGTGCATAAAACAGACACGCAACATGAATTTGATGCATTTTCCTGCCTTTAAATGACAGGAAATAATTGGCCATGATCATCAGCTGTTTTTAAACAATCTTGCCAGTGTCCAGCACCACAAAAATTTGCTTTCCTGGACTGCATACACTGACTTACCTCTGTTGGCCACCATGACCTTTTTGATGGGTTTGTACTCGAGGGTTTGGGGTGCAGTGTGGGCACAGCGGGTCAAACTCCACATCCTCCTCATGGCCAGCAGCCCCAGGGCAGAGTGCCGTCCTCCCACCTGCAGCAGCATCTACAGAGAGACACCGCAAAAGACAGAAGTGTCACAGGACGAAGCTTCCATCAGACTGCTGTACTGATATCTACTACAAGTGTTATCTGCATGCCTAAAGAGCTCCCAGTGATTAGCAGATTTTACACAGGAGCCGAGCTACTGCTGATAGGGAGATAACAAAAGTCGAACTGAGGAGAAAGTGAGGTCAGTGAGACAACAAGCCAGATATGATATAAATGAGTGCTGCAATAATGAGCAGACAAACAAATAAACGATGCACTCAGACAGGGAGAAAACAGCTCTGCTACGTGAGGAGATCCTCAAGGCTGTCTTTTAGAAATTGCTGTATTTCAAGCGTATCCACATACTGGAAAACATAAACAAGGTGAAGTGCCCAGAGGGCCAAAGAGAACAAAACACAATATCATATTGTGATCATGTTGCCTGTGGACAGAGCTTCAAAAGGCCAAAACCGAACACCTGAAACAACAGCAGAACTGATTAAACTCTGTGGGAATCACTGAAGGATCAGAGGGACGACGAGGCCTCGGGAGACAAAGGCGGAACAGAGCAGAGCAGACTATAAAAGGTGATTTATGAAAACTTTATGTAAATGTTTAAATCAAATGAAAGTGTGATTGATCCGCTGATTTGTGTTCTGATTAATTAAGCAAAGTAAAATGGCTAAAACGACGGTCACACTACACTTCTTACCAGGGCCGGAGTGGGATCCTTTTCAGCCCTGGAGTTCCAAACCTTAGACCAGCCCACCTCAGTTCACAACTGACTATATTAAAAATAACATCCTTCCAATTCAGTTTCTAATGACACTATCATTTCTTTTTCAAGGAAACAGCTGCTTTAGAACTTCAAATGTTTTTCATAAATATGAGAGCATTAAAGGGTAGCTAAATCTCCAACACTATTCTTTAAAACATCACAATCTCCTTTCCTGCAATATCTGAATATATATTCTGTGCAAAATTCTTTATAGATATCCAATCCTTTGTAACGGTGGTCAAACAAAAAATAAAATATGTACACCTACATAAGTAATCTGAACAGTATTATGTCTTAACACTAAAAATGGGAAAAAAAATTACTGAGGTGAGGTTCGAACTCAGGTCGGCAGCGTCGTAAAGCAACCACTTGACCACAATGGAGCGGTTACACTAATGCGTTTGGATTACAAAAATTAGTATTGCACTGTTATCTGCAAGACTTTTAACCTCAGTATTAGTTTCTATTGATGGCTTAATCTTTTTCTCCCCTTTTTAGATTTCTGATCAAGTTATGTCAGATTTATTAATGTAGTAAATCATCTGATTTTTATTGAGCAGGTGTAATATTCATTAATATTAATTATTCAAATTCTTATATTCACTAAGGTGCCGCTGTTTGGGGTCGAATGATAGTTACCTCATCATTAACCTACAGGCTGCATTTGCTCACAGGGCTGTGAGAAATAAACAGTGGATCTGTGGCAAAATAATAATGCAAGAGTGAGGCTATGATCAAATAAATAAATAAATGAAAAAAGTGTAACTGCTGAGAGTGCAGGAAGCTAGGGACACCGGCCCTCGTGGCCAAAAAATAAATAAATAAATAAAAAAAATAGACCGGCCCACCGGGAATTCTCCTGGTCCTCCCGATTAGCCAATCCAGGCCTGCTTCTCACCCCATAGAGCTCCATTCATACGCATACAACTTTGAGAGACTGGAAAGACAAGCTCATGCGACAAGTTTCACAGTTTGCTTGGTGAACTTTGACCTGCGAAATCGCATCATGCAATTTATTATTTTCTAATGCATCCCACTCCTCTTGCCTCTTATTTAAAATGTAAACGTTGATAAAAGGTCTCATCTCGGAAGGAGGAATTTGTTCTCAAAATATCCTGCAAATAATATTTTAAATCGTGAATTTCTTGCATCTTCTGTAAACAAACATCTAAATGTAAATAGTAGATTTTTTGTAATGGAAAATATGCCATCTTAAGGCATCTTAGCGCAGCTATCAATCATTGTCAATGTAGTACAAAGTAGGGCACAAGCATGGATCCATCGTCCTACTTGACCAAAGATAAGATGTGGTTGCAAAGTGACCAAAGAAGAAAAAAAAATAAAATAAAAAAAATCAGCCACAGCCTTGAACACAGGGATGCTCAAACTCGGTCCTGAATGGCCAGTGTCCTGCATATTTTAGTTTCAACCCCAATTAAACACACCAGAACCAGCTAATCAAGCTCTTTCTAGGTATACTACAAAGCTCCAGGCAGGTATGTTGAAGAAAGTTGAAGCTAAACTATGCACGACATCAGTCCTCCAGGGCCGAGTTTGGACACCCCTGCTTTATCAGAACATGGAATGGGACACGTAGGGAAAGAAATTGAAAAAAAATCATACATGAAAAATTAATCGATTATAGATTCTGAATGTCGATTTCGATTACGTTTTGATTAATCACCCACCTCTATGTCTAATCATCTTGTTTAATCCTGCCGCTTTACGCAGCACTGTGCGGCAGAAGTTTGCATGCTCTAACTCTAGTGACCACAGCATTACTTGCCTAACCGGCTTCTATTCAGTTGGACGATACTGGATGGTGGCCAGATAAAGAGGTAGTCATTATCCAACCAAACAGGTGTGACAAGGGGTGCGTCTCAATCAGCTCCCTTGTAGAGTAGTCAGGCAACTCATCAGGGGCTCAGCCATTTTAAGTGCTGTCTCAAATTATAAAATTTCTCCAGTGCATGTAAACATTTGCTCTCTGCAGAGTCCCACAGTGCATATAATTTGAAGGAATTATTAGCAACAAAGGCAAGAAAAGCAGCACAGGGAAAGCACAGCACAACTCCAAGTGGGGTTGGATATAGGTGGTGTAGGTGTAGTAAACTTTAATAAAACACATTCAGTTGCAGTGTGGTTGGGTTTAGGGTTGGGGTAGGTGTAGACGTTCATAAAGCACAATATTGCACTCAGTGTCATGTACAAGACACTAAATATTTAAAAAAAAAAAAAAAATCCAGGTTTGTACAGCCCTCTTGGAGCTCAAGTCCCACCCACTTGGAGCTGCTCAGACCTCCATTTATACCCTTCTCCAAGAGTTTGCTCACACTATTAATTTGGACCATGATAAATATAGTGAATTAAATATAAAATGCTATTAATCTTTGCATAAAACAAATTCCATTATATGGACAAACATTATTATTAAACTTTCCTCAACATTTTCATAGGTATGAAATATTATTATATTAAAAATAATATAATAAATAATATTATATTACATCAACATATTTACATTTAAAAAAAAAAAAAAAAAAACTTGCATATGACAATATGAATATGTAAACAGGCAAAGCCTGATAAAGTAGGAACTAAGTCAAATGGAAGCAAGTTAGGCCCCGTTTACACGAATACATTTTAGTTTTAAAACAATGTTTTAGAATGAAAATGAACCAGGCCACATTGATGTTTCACCAAGTGTTTCTGAATAGCTCTCCATCCACACTGCTGAAAACACACGTGACTACACACACTCTGGCATGCGCTGCAGCATATGCACATGTCTGATCCCCAGGCAGTCAGTAGGTGCTTTGAGCACACCTACCCAGGTGAGAGCAATGCACGTCGGACTGTTCATTAAAGATAATGCCGCTGGATCTCACTATAATTGTAAAACATGATATTTAATTCATCTTTTATAAGCCTATATCTAACGACTCTGTGTTTTGAATCCATCACTTGTAACGTGTTTTGGCAGAGTGCAAAGATAAAGTTAATATATTCATTCATGTGATCACGTACACCTCTGCACATTTGACTGATTGCCTGCCTTTTCCTATATTGTATAAAATTTATTATTAGTATTGATTTCTATTATTGATTATTCAAACTGATAAGAGACAGGGAATGTTTTATATTTTTCGATGAAAAGGAGGCGGCAATTTTTTGTTCTAAATCTGCATACAGTGAAGATGGCAAAAATATCCTAAAAATATGTAGCTACACAATTCTGTTAAGCTCTTAATATCAAAATGAAAACAGGCAGCTCCTTGTAATGTTTTCATTTTATTGTTAAGAAAGTGAAACAACTCAACTAGGTTGACGGGAATGACATTATAAAGTACAGTTTCCTTTGAAGATTTACCCGACATGTACTTGGGAGTTTGTTTGAACTTAAAAGGAAAAGGAAACAAGACTGAACTTTGTGTACTTGATACTAAGAAAAAGCCCCAATCAGGCAAATGTCTGCAGCCACGCCTCCATTTTCAGATGTCTTCGTTTTCCCCTATCCACAGACACAGAGCAGCAGCATTTTAAAACTAAAACAACCTCTTCAGCGTTTTCAAAACTCTTTGTTTTCTGGGCTTGAAAACTCCAAGGTAGAGTGGATGGAGGCCGTAACCGTAGCAAAACTTTTGCATTTTTAAACTAAAACGTAATGGTGTAAACAGGGTCTAAGTGTCCCTTATAAATTCCTCTTTCCCCAAGAGTTTATGCTTTTCTAATTGGTCAGATGGGCCAGCCTGTCATGACTGGTTTACTGCTTACTACACGTTTCTGACACTTGCTGTAACACATCTGTTTTTAAAACAAGTCTATCAGTGGTCTAATAGATGTATAAACATATGACTTGGGTAAAACAAGACTAAATTTGGACAATCTAAGAATAGCCCAAAACTACACTAGTCATCATTTACACATGAATGAATGACTGCAGAGTCTGACTAATCCGTGTATCTGATGACTAGTCTAGTTTGGAGCTATTCTTAGATGTTATTCTTATAGATTTATATTGACAGACCAGGTTTAGTCTTGTTTTAGCCAAAACCTCCATGTTTACATAACACAAAATAGTTTGGTAGGTTCCTTCCATCAGTGATCATAAACACTGCAGACAGCAACAATTACACTGATCTTACTATATCATTTCTACTAGTTTGCATCCAGTTTCACAGAAATGGCATGGATTAAGGCAGGATTAGGATGAGAAAAACAAACTTCACATATTTACA